TTCCTTCAAACTCAATTGCATCACTTTACAAACGCACAGAATGTCACAATCATGCAGCAAGTACCAGTAATTACTTAAAACGTGCTGACTTTATTGTGACATGGAAGTTATAATGATCAGACTTGTATTACTTTTGATTCCTTCAAGGATGGAAACTTCAATAGATAGAAAGAATCCCAGTCAAAAAACTCTAAATGGGGTTGAAGTTTCCTAACTCTAACCTCCAAATGGGTTTGACTTCTGACTGCAATTTTTTTTTTTTATTTTAAATTTCTTCATTCCTGACCAGCAGAAAATTTCCTGGCATTTTGTTGCATCTTTTTCAGTACTCTGCAAACAAAATAATCCTATAAATCTCAGAGAAATTTAATTTGCAAGCAAAAAGTATGATGACAGATATAGAATGATAGTTCTGGCTCAATTCAAAACCGAGGATAGATATTGTTTTGAGCTTTGGCCAAAACAGAGTTTATCCTTGGTTTTGCACCATCCCAGAACATATCATTATATATCTACTATCACTGAGACAAACACAGAAATCTTATTTCATAATTTTTTCAAAAAAATTATGACATATTAACTTATCAATCTTTAGTATCAGAACAAATTATCATACAACAGGATCAGCAGTAATGTTTTATCCTCTTATGAAGAAGTCATGGTGTGCCACTCTGTGCCCAGCTCCTTTGGGGCTTGCCTTGATTTGTTCTCCTGTCAAAAGAGTGTCTTTTTAAATGAGAAATTATCTCAGTTATAAGTCACACTTTCAAGCTCTCTGTTGATGATGTTGAGCTGAGCATCTGAGAGGATGAAGATGTTATATTTCACATTCTCTGAGCCTGACACTTTCCTGTTAATTGCAAGCTGAACTCCTTCTTTCGTATTCCCAAGTCTCAATCCACTTGCATGAAGGTCATTGTTTCTCATACTCCTGAGATTGATGAAAGACTGAATCTGTACCCAGCATAAAAGTCTGTCGCATTCATTGTGCTGTTTTCCTTTCCAAATCTCCTGAGGACCACTTCCCAAATATTTCTTGTTCCCATTCCTTGACTGTAAACCCTGTTCAGAATTCTATCCACTACTACCTTCACTTCAGTGATGTCAGGATTGAATGTCTTCTCACTGTCTTCAACACCAGCAACATATGGCTTGTAAAAAAGAAGTCCTGTCATTGACCTCCTTGGGACATTGATGCTCTCATTGATCATTGTGTCTGATCCCTTATCTACTGAGATTGTCTTGAGCTGAGTGATGTGCTTGTACATGAATCTCTTCCATTTGTGTGGTTAGACAAGGCCTTATCAGCAAGTTCTTGACTGTGAATGATTTCATACTCAAGCCTGATGGTAGTCAATTCATAGGCAAGTTGTGTCTTATCAGATCCTATCAGCATAGGATATAACATTTGTGAAGAAACTGATTATATTCTTTTCAAGTACTTGGATAAGAACTTGAATAAGGACTTAAAATTATTTATTAACAAATAAAATGAGGGATAAAGAACCTAAGACTGAAGAAGCACCAGCTCAAGCTCTTTGAGCTGGGCTGCGTAGCGCTAAACTTGAAGGGCCAAGCCTTTGAATGGACCTTGTAGAAGTCCACTAAAAGCCCCAAGTAAGCTGGCAAAAAGCTTGCTGAATACAACAGAAGGGTGAGGGAGGAAAAGAAGAAGAAAGGTGGTTCAAAGCAATTGGAAGGATCAGAACCAGAACTAGGAAACATCATCGCCATTCTCACTCGCTCAAATTCTTTCAGTAGCAAGTGTAGTTCTCACTGGCTCGACTTTACTATAAAAGAAAAGAGTTGATGGCACTCATTAATAGACCAAAACCACAGGCTCAAGCACAGCAGAGTGAGCTCAAGCCCTTCAGGGCTTACCCCTGTGAGGCTTCCTGTAAGAGTAAAGCCAATGGACTTTTTTTTTGTTTGTCAAAATAAAATGTCTGATAAGCCTGTGAAAACATTGACTGCCTCAGCTACATTGACTGGATTGGCTGCCACAATTGGCTGATCCAAGTTCAAATCTCATGAACTATGTGAAGTTCATTGTTGTGATCACTGCATCTATAGTGGCAAAACAGTGTCTTGGAGATCAAAAGATTTACAATTAAGTTAGCAGAAGTCTGCACAATCATCGAAACTGTCCTAATATTCTATATCAGTGATATAGAGGCAGATCCAAGCCTTGAAGAGGAAGAACTTTGTCAAAAGTTTCATGATGAATATATGTTGTCAATTTTCAACAATGAGTGTGCAGATAAATAAAATGGCAAGCATAACAATGATGATTAGAGGAGCGCTCATCAATGTGACTGCCTTAGTTGGTGGAAGCTATCTCACAAAGTATTTGAGTGGAGACCAGCATAGTGCTGTAGAAGAGAAGAAAAGGCGTGAAAGGAGAAGTAGCAGCACACCATGGTCTCTTCATAAGAAGATACAACATTGCTGCTGATCCTGCATGATTAAATTTGTTCTGATACTTAACATTTACAAGTTAATGTGTCATAATTTTTTGAAAAAATTATGATTTGAGATTTCCATGTTTGTCTAAGTGATAGTAGATATATAAGACACTTTCTAGGATGGTGCAAAACCAGGGATAAACATTGTTTTGGGTGAAGCTCAAAACATTGTTTATCCTAGGTTTTGTATTGAGCCAGAATTGTCATTTTATATCTACTGTGATAGGCATGTTTAATAGAGAAAATAGTAGAATTGGATTTCCTGTGGCCACTTTAGTTTCCGAAACATAGACTGAAGACCGAAGAGCTGATGTTTGGGAACTGATTTGGAATTGAGAAAATATTTGTTTCAATTTGATAACTACTATCAGATATAATTATACTGTGTATCATATGTTGGTGAGAACTGTTGGTTGTCTTCATTTTAGAGAACAGATGACGATGCCAGCATCCATGATCAAGTTATATGGTTAGTTAGGAACCATGTGAAAACATGAGTGTACTCATTGTTTGATATGAAATTAATTACAGTACAACATAAAGAGCACAATTCTTGATATTTGTCAGACTGTGTTTCTGAATACATCCCTACATATGATACTTTCTTCTGTTCTAATTGTACTCTTCCTGATGTACTTGCTTTCATGTTTAGGAAAAACATCAGGTTTCTTTCTGTATGTCTCATGCAAGGAAGTGCTTTTTTTTTTGCGTTTTGCCTTACTTACACAGGAATCTCCACACTAATGGAATTGATGATCTTCTACTCTTTGTGGCATGTTCTCCAGACGAGGTAGATAATAACCATGTTTATTTTTGTAATGTGCAGAACATCTAAATATATGAGATTGACCATCTTGAGCTTAAATGATTTAAGGGGTGTTGGTTTGAATAAGAATAGAACCAGTGGCCTTGTCTTGTGTGTAGTGTTTAGGCTATTGAGACACTTCGTGCAGCATACATGGTGTAATGTAGGTTCGAGTTGCATCTCAGAGAGCGGGAAAGCATGGCGTGTTATAAAAGTTGTGTGCAGTGAATTAAAACACTTTAAAAGGTTTAATCCGTGTTAATCTGCTTATTTATTGGCCATCACCACATTGTGTAGAGTGTTATAGCATGTTCTCCACTTCCTTTAAACCCACAAAAGATAATTTATATAGCCCATATGCTCTGTGGATAAATGGTTGTTTACAATGGGATGATGATAATTTCTATCTGGAGTGCCTTTTTTATTGCTTAAGGGCCACTCTTAACTGGTCGCATCTTAGCAAATATATTAATTTTGTCTTTCATTTTTGTTATCTTATAAAAAAATCTTTGTGATGATGCATGCCATAGTGAGGTAATAATTGTAATATTGATATTCTTTACCAAATAAGTGTTCATCATCTTTCTTGTAGAGGCGATGGAGTATGCATATATTAGAAATTGTTTCACTGATGCTCAGAGAACAGGTTAGTTTTCAAATCTTGCAGAACGATTGAGTGTAAGGGAGCCTGGGCTATCTGAGATGAGACTACAAAATGGCATGTGCTTCAGATAGAGTGTGAATTCCTTGAATATTATTGGAGATTGGGCTTTTACATGCCTACAACCTGTATAAACATATCTTTAATCTGAAATGACAACAAAACACAATAGGAAAAAAGTGTTTAAAAGTGCAAAAATTACACTGTAATTCCCAATTTGTTCAGCCTGTTGTCAGCGCAGATTTTGCTCTGCTTTTTGTGTTTGTGGTAGAACCCAGAGAGTTTGGCAAAAGCTGGTGAGGGAAGATCAAGAAGTGAAAAGAAGGATGATGAAAGGTAAGGAAGATACAAAAATAGTTCTTGATCTAGGTTGTCTAAATTTGTGTGAAATAAGAATAGAATTAATTTTTTCATTTTGAGTAGAGTAAATTATAGAATTATGATTAAATATGTTTCTCCATTTCATTGTTCCATTGTATTTACAACAATAATCAATCCTGTTTTTGTGATTGTTCAGATGGGAGTAGTTGTGAAAAGGGTCGTTATTGGTGATACTGTCACTGACATGTCACCTGTATGATGACACAGTGATTGTGATTGTTCAGGTGAGAGCTGTGGTGGCATAGGGTTAGATAAAAAAAATTATTGATGGTGATACTTACTGTTACTGACATCTCACCTGTGTGATCATACTACAGTTCTTTCCATTACCTATGGCTTCAAATCAACTACTGAATACTCATTTTACAATAGAATAATCATACAGTGTGATTCCCAATACTTCTCAGTGAAGTACTCAAAGAGAGTGATTTTACATTGAATTTGACTACTCTCATTATTATCACAGGCAGCTTGAGATCATTCGGCAGCAAGAACTCGCAGAAAAGTTAAACAATGCAAGGAAATTTTCAGGAAGGTTAGTTACTGTAACAAAAATATTTGTTTTTACAGCTACATGTAAAGAATTTGCCTTTCAAATTTTGTTTAATTCAAGTGGTCATGATAGGCCTAACCTTCAGTGCAGTTTGTTTTTAATATTACAAATGAATAGAAACTTAGAAACATGACTGACCTGAATTCAGATGATTTAGCTGCAGCTGTTTGTGATACACTTTACTTTCCACTTTAGACATTCCAGATTTGGCGGAACATTCTATGTCCAGAATATGAAATCCATAAATGATAAAAATCAGCTTGTATATCACAGACCACTTGCTGGTGAGTGTTAATGCTTTACTTTTAGACAGAATGAAGTTAAGAAACAATGGTTTGTATCAGTCACCATAGAAATGGCATTTGGCCTGTGCAGAGTGGGTGCTGAAAGGTTCCTGGCACATTAAAAATCCAACCAGTTTTCATTCTTGAGCTGCACTATTGCAGGAGGCTCAAACTGATTCCACCTCTTTCTGTTACAATGTTATTTCATGGATCAGATACATTTGATAACCTTTAAAGTATGTCCAGAGCCACTGCAATCTTTTAATAATTTTATATGACTCTGAACAAAATCTAAAAGATTTCTTTTATGAAAAATTTAAAGAATTATGATTGATGTTATCGATAACAAAAATCGAGGTCACTGGATTCATGGAGGGGTAAGAGTAAGTGTAAGGGTAAGGAGAGATAGTAATGCAAAGTGGCAGCATGTGCTGAAACAATGATCACAACTTGTTCATTAATAAATGGGAATTTGATTGATACATATAGTCAAGAAAGCATATTTAAACTTGTGGTACAATTAATACAAAAAAGTGGTGCTTGAAAGCCTCAAAACTGTATCAGGCCATCTTAAGACATGTTGTTAGGGTCTGCAGGTCCTAGTTAGAGTTCATTTCACTGTCATAATTTCCGCAGCACATATGATTGACCTTCAAGCTTAGTATAATTAAAATGTATGGGTCAGTTTTGTGTTATTATTCTACTGATGAAAGATCTAATGAAACAATGCTTTCTTGCAACACTAGAGGTAAAAAACATGAGTTTTGACCATAACAAAACAGCACCTAAGAAGAGGAAAAAGCAACTGCTTGCTAAAGAAATGGGAGAAGAAAGGAGATCTACTTTGAGCATAAGGTACTTGACTTTGCAGTAGGTTTCTTAATTAGGTTGATTAACATTGCAATTTCCAAACATGTGATAGTCTCCCAACCATCAGAATGTATTACTTTGGTTTTTTTAGGCTGTTTTTAAAGAATTTTTGTAAGGAGTTTCTGCAAAATTGCTACAATCCACTCATGAACATTGTAAAGGTAAGCTGCTTAAACTTCTTCAGTCCACAATTAACACTGTAAAGGATATCAATTAGATGTATAAATCCAAGCACTTTCACATTGATCACAATTTGTTGTATTTTCACGACTAGATAAAATGTAATAAACCTTAAAAGCAGTGTTTTTAATGAATGAGCTCTTTGACAAAAGTGAATTCATCTTCAATACTCCTAGGATAATATCAAACATGGGAGATCTCAAGAAAATGATGAATCTTACTTCTTATGGGCAATGAGGTATGAATCTCTCTAAAATTTTTCACTTCCATCAATTGAGTAGTAAAAGATGCAATTGAAAACTTAAATCTCACTTCCAACTAAGTCTGTTGTTTTCAATCTGTACTGTACAACAATAGACACAATTGTTTGATAACTCACTAACATTTTGTTAGTGCTATTAATAAATTATGCCATGTCTATTCTTTATGCTGCAAATCGCTGTTCCAGTATTTAAGATGCTTGCTCTGGTCCTATGTTGATGTAAAAAGCATTACAGTTAATAGCTATATTTCTTGCAGGTTTTTCATGGAATTCAGCAGACATTATGACTTTCGAGTGGATTATATCAGGTACAGATGAAAAACTTTCCACTATTGTTATCAATTGAAACATTTTCCTTTTTGTATAATTCTGTTTTATTTCTTGTGATACATGTAGCTCGTTATACAGTGGTGGGAGGGGTAAGAATTAGTGAATGAAGTGGGTGGGGTTAAGTGCCACACAACCCTAACCCTTTGTTGATGTTTTTCTGTCTTTTTATCACTCTTCTGTTTGAAAATGTATCAATGTTGTAGAGAAAAGCCCTCTGTGGTCACTTTTGGGATTGAAGGGGGGGGGGGGGAACTACCCCTTGCTCTTCATCTCAAACTTAGACCTGTATATTTTTATTTATTAGCACCAGTTGCAACCTTTCGATTTTGTCACTTTTTTCAGTGAAACGCTCAGTGTGGTTACCTTTACTGACCTTTTAAATGTCATAGTCAAGTTTTATGATGGCTTGGAATCAAACAAGAGTGAAGCCTCCATATGGGGGCGTAGGTAAGAATAAGGAATGAAACTTGGAGCTTTTTGTCACTGAAATCCTGATCTGTACCAAGGAGGAAGTTCCTGGATCCAAATCCATCTATTATTGGCTGGCACCTTGGTTTTTTCATGTATTAAAAGACAATAACATTTTTTCCAAGATTTTCTGTGATTAGTTAGATTTTGGCATATTTTAAACTCATTTATCTGCATGCTACTATAGGATTGCTAAACAATAATAACTTCCATTTGATAATTGTTAACTTACATGCTAAAATTAGATGTAAGCAGTGTAAAACTATAAATAGTAAAAGCAATTTGTGATTTAGTATTGTAGAACTAAAACCAATTTGAAAGAAATCATAACAGCCAATTAGAAGGAATGAAAAATCCCTTTAAGAGCCAATGAAATCCCAGTGTAAAAACAGGCGAACTTCTAAAAGTGTGAAAAGGCCCAGGAGTGACTAAGTTGTGATTGTTTTAAGTTTTGCATGTGATTTGTTGAGAGAGCAAGGAAAGTTTTGTGGACAAATCACAGAGTGACATAAGGCAAAACCAATGCAATCCCAAATTACTTTCAACATTCAATTGAAAATTGCTCTAAACACAGATTAGCTACTTTGGTTACCATACTTAATGTGTATAGAGACAGAAAATTTTTGAGCTTATAGTAGTTGAATGAGTCAATAGCGTGAAAAAGGAAAGCTTCTAAGTCCCTGGCATGAATTTGAACCTCAGATCAGGGGTCACTGCAGTTTTATCCTTTACCACTGACCTTCAATGAACTTATTGGTTCATGGAAAGTGGAGGAGTATCCAAAGTTAAGAATCAACAATCTTTTTTTTTAATTATATGTTTCCTCAGGCTTCACCTTGCAATTCAAGCTTATAAAGAATTGTTGATCAACCTAACATTCATGGATAAGTCTGAGGATGGAAGTCTGCAAGAAAATACCAAGATTATTAAAGGTTGAAAGTCACTTTTGTCTCAGTGGTTGTCACCTCAAAAGTGCAAAAGGAATCTTATTTGCTTTAACTAACAACTGTAACTTTGTGACTAAAGTTCATAAACTTTCTCAACTGGGTAGTTATTTTTGAGATGTAGTTGATGTTTCTAAAACAGAAACTTGTGTTGTCAAAGAAAACAGGTGTCTGTATAGCTTGCCAGTCCATGATAACCTTACATTTGGGAAGGCTGTGTAATCCTTCCACTGCCCATGCCCTATAAATTGGGTTTATCGTTGTGTATCATACTAATGTGGTTCTTCTTATTTGTCAGCTTTGAGTACGTCATGTATGTTATTATGTAGTGCACATATGAATAAACAGTTGAAAAAACATACTGTTAAGGGAAAGAAAAGGTATACAGTGCCTTTCTGCTATTCAAGTTTTTACTTCTGAATTTTTTACTGATTCTATTTTAGGAAATATTTTCTACACACCAGAATACAGAGATACCTTTCTGAGTCTTATAAGGAAGTTTAACATGACAATACAGACAAAGTGAGGAGAATACTTTTGTTGTTGTTGTTGTTTTTATTGTTATTTTTATTGTTATTGTTGTTGAAAGCTCTTTCACTTTAAGTCTAAGTATTATGTATTTAGATATGATCTATTTTTACATAGGATAATACTTGTTATGCTAATGGATTGTGATTATATGGTGTATGCTTTTCTTTAGGAGCTACCTACGAGACTTGATTGAAGCTTTCCATATCTTCTTGAAGATGTTAGAAAAGTACTGCTCTGGAAAAACTCACATTGTAGTCAAGGTAACTTCTCAACAACAGACATCATGAAAACTCTGTAATTCAGTTAATTATAATTAACTAAATTCATTAAATTCATCTTAAAAGATGAATAATGGAATTGTGATGTTGATCTATTTTTGTTTTCCCTTTAGAAAAAGAAGAAAATTTCAAAAAAGAAGAAAAGAAATCTGCCATCAGGTGAGTTCATTTTGTTGTTTTGTTCCTCAATTCCCTATATTCATTACTCAATAAGAAAAAGGTTTAATTTTTTTGTTTTTGAGTCAAGAAATGAATCCCCCATTCCCTTGTTGCAGTTCCAGTAAACTTGACACCAGAGGAAAGTGAAGAGAAGTGGCAGGAACTGGCTTCTGATCTCTCAGCCACACTTCAAGGACATGCAGGGGACATTCCTGATTCAGTTGTTCCCTTTGATGCTGCCTCGGAAATCCCTGTTGATGAACAAAAGTGAGTTAACATACAAACAGGATAGGCTGCATATACTGCTGACCCCTTGTTCTTAATGTCCCTTAGGGAGGGTGGCTAAGAGGTAATGCGTGATGTGGGAATAAGGCCAAAATGAGCATGAAGCTTAAGTATTCATGAACCATGGATTTTTCAAAAAAACCGCAAGATATCCCTCAAAAATTGTGCTAATGAAGAGAAATTTGAATGTTTCCATTTAAATTTGTGACACCCAAAGTACTGTTTAGAATAAAAGCAACACACAAGAAAACTTTTGTGGGAAATGGGATTAGAACACTCCTTTGCTATCCTCCTCAAGAAACTTTAATCTAGGAGTGTGATGGAAACTACACAAAGACATATTCCCAGGACAGTATGCAGTTTTAAGAGGATGGCTCCTGAGGTAACAAAAGATTAGAAAAGTGTTACAGTATTCCTCCTTTTGGCTTATGATTTGTGTCCCTTGCTTTGACTTTGACTCTGACACCCTCACACTCTGACTTCAAGGCATCTTGGTTACACAGGTTATTCAATAACCACATATTTGTTTCCAGGACAAATGCTTTATCCCAAATTCAACAGTTTCTTAGAGGTCATCTTTGCAGAGAGGCTGTGGCAATGCTCAGGGCGGCCAGGTATGATCAACACTTACAGCAATTATACATTGGGAGTGGATAATCAGAAGTGTACCACTTACATTGACACAGAACAATTAAGGTAGTATATAATCAAATCTTTTCATCCATCATTGTTTCCTATTGAATCTGGTTCTTTCATTATTCCAATTCAGAGATGTTTGGCCAGAGGATGATCATTTTGGTTCAGTTGGAGTCAGTGCAGAGGATGAGTTCATGTGTTTGTCTGATATCTTCAAAATGGATCTTCCCTCCGGTAAGGGAGAAAACAGGCGTAATTTTGACTCACAATCAGACAGCATGCCTAAGGCTCTTGATAAATGAAATGGTCAGTCAGTCAGCCAATTTTTCACTCTTTCACTGAGTGAGGGAGTCAGTCTTCAGTTACTTAGGTGTGATTTCCACAGTTCTGGTCTTCAATCATCCCTGTCAGTAGTGTGTCAACCAATTTGAGGCTTTGACATTCCCTCTGCCCTCCCCTCCCCTCCCCCCTGTGCAACTCCCTGGGTCTTTGGACTTTTGAAGATTATTTTTTACAAATTCCCCCTCTTCAAATGCCTCACCCACTTTTTTGTCAAAGGCTTTGACCTTGTAGACCTTTCCTTCTGAGCCATTCACTAGCTGCAAATTGATCAGTGCATAATCAAGCCTCTTAGCCAGTCAGCCTGTCAGTCAGCATGCCGCCAGTTGGTCAGTTAGTCTGTCAGATAATCAGTCAGTTGGTCAGGCTAGGCAGTTGATCAGTCAGTCAGTTATTATTTAAGCCAGCTAGCAGTCAGTCTGTTATTCAGTCATATAGTCAAATTTAGTTTTCATCCTGTAATGAGGAATAATTTAAAATCCATGTGGTTTACCATTTTGCTTTTCCAGTGCTTGTTAGAACTGAGAATGAAGTGGAAGAAGAAGATGAAGAGGAAACCAAGCCAGGTTAGTTGGACTTAATTAAAGCAATACAACTCAATTTTGTTTCAAATGGAAATAAATCAGTTTTGAAGAAGGCTTGTGCTTCACATGACAGAAGATGAAGAGATGGCAGCAGTGCAGACACATGAAGTGGAGTTCAGCATCCAGGACTTTTTGAACAAGTATGTTTTATATTAAATGACACATTTAAAAGAGAATGTGGTCTACAAACACCATTTGTTGTTGTTTTGTGATTTTTCCCTTTTAATTGAGTATATGAAAAGACTGGGGTGGTTGTATTTTAGACTTGCCACTCCAGCTCTTCTCCAACCATACTGCTGGCTTTTGAAATATTACAAAGAGAACAAGGACACAACAAATCATGCCATTATCAAGATGCTTCACCGAGTTGCTGTTGACCTCAAGACACCTGCCATGCTGTTTCAGTTGTCTCTGTTTTGCACCTTCCAAAAGATTCTCTTTGATCCAGCAGCAAATCAATACAAAGTGAGTTCCATTTTCCCTCTCATTTGATAATTTAAAATTTTTATCAGTTTGTTGTCAGTGTTTAACAAAGCAAGGAATGAGTCATGAATTACTCAGAAGCCATCATAAAACACATACACAGAAGGAAAGTGAACAACTTTATCGTACTTAGTAGCTCAACAGAGTTGCAAATCTTTGGTAGCTCATCAACGAAAACAAATGGTGATAGCATAGGTGGAAACTATGTTGTGACTACACAGTAGAAGCAGGTGGAAACTATATTGTGATGACACAGTAGAAGCAGGTAGAAACTATATTGTGACTACACGGTAGAAGCTGGTGGAAACTATATTGTGACTACACGGTAGAAGCAGGTGGAAACTATATTGTGACTGCATGGTAGAAGCTTTTATTTGAAATGTCTTTCAGTTCTGAGGACAAATCAATAAGAAAATAAAAATACTTATTCCTATTCTATTCCTACTCGCAGGAAATGGTTAAGTTTTCTCGGTACATTGTTTCCAAGTTTTTTGAGTTGTTACCCAAGAATCCTGCACTAGTAGCTGAGCTTGTGTTGTGGAAGAGTTCCGGAGACTGTTACGAGATAGTGGAGGGTTACGGTAGTTTAGCTCTGAGGTAAAAAAATTTATAAAGTATTTTTATAAGATTGGTACGTGGAAAATCATGTTTTTAAGTATTACAAAATAGAATACAACACAAGAACTTTTCCCTGGAATACTAAAGCGCTTTCCCCATTTGGGACGCATTGATGTTTTAAATCAGGTTCAGTCAAATGAGAATTGAAATGTATGCCGTCATTTTAAGGGCTTTCCTTTGGTAATGTTAAAGAAAAATAATGCTACATTCTTGAAAGGTATGACCAACCCTATCTGTATAAAGCCATTCCAACTAAAAAATTCAATCGTTTGCTAGAAATGCCAGTCAAAGTTCCTCAGTGTGGACATTTGAGGAGGAGGAAGAGTTACATGAACTTTATAAGGAACATAAAGGCTCGGATGGTATGTAATTTAATCCGCCTCTTAAAGTGTAATGAGCTGAAATATGTAGGCATTTTGATTGGAGGATAGACGCATAGATGACGTCACCCTAAACAATGTTTTGCTTTGAAGGTGGACTTGTTCTGTAAAAGATTCTGAGGACGTAAAAATATGGAAAGAGCATTATTGACACACTAAACTGCGCCAACAACTTTTGTGTTCCTACCTCATTATGACGTGGACTGAACAGACGCATGACAACCAGGAACCTATGTGTTAACCCTTTACTCCTTATCATCATTGTGCATTAATTTTCTCCATACTGTTCTCTATACATTTCCTAAGGTGCTAACAAGGAGAATTTGTTTAAAAATCAGGAACTTCTTTAGTTGGTAATCATTTCCTTTCAAGGAGTGATATTTCAAGGAGAAAGTAGACGCTCGTCACTCGTAGGGGTTAAAGGGTGTAGGTCACCTAGAACTTTATTATTGGTGTTGGGTAATTATTGTGTAATTTAAACAGATCTTGTAGATACCATCATGGAAAAGATGTCGAGTGATACCAAGAGCAGGCGACAGGTGATCTACTAATCTCTGCTTGTTCAACATTTTAACTTGATACCAGCATCTGATATTAGGAGGTCTGTCTTAAAAGTGATATTCACAAAAAGCGACAGAAACCCGAAGAAACTTTATGTTGCAGAATTCATCTCTGAAAATTACATGTTTGCATCAACCTATCGACATTCCTCAAGTTTAATTTACAACTTGTTCAAGCAGTTCCTTGGGTATTTCTGAGGTTTATTTGATTTACAGTAACATGAACGTCTTTTTGATCAACTTGGTAACAGTAGTTTTCAATAACGCGCTACATCCTTGTAATAGATGAATAGGTTGATTTCCAAAACAAATTACTTAACAGTAAATGTCAAGAACCCTTAAAGATATATATTTTCATGAGTTCATAACACTGCTGACTATTACTTGTTTCAAATTGCAGATCATGAACAAGCTTGTTGCAATGAAGCTGGTTTTAAGCAGAAAGGAATTGACCAAGTATGTTGGAGCTTGATCTGTTAGTTTAAAGTTCTAGCTGGGGATGTCAATGATTGCTTGTGTATGTTCATGGTAGTAGAAGTTTCATTTTTACGTTTAAATTTCAACTGGTCTGAGGACATGTATGTCATATGTTATTTCCTCAGAAGGCCAGTTAAGAAAGGAGTGTGGCCTGAGAAAGAAGTTGAACAGCTACGAGCTTTGTATGAGGAATATAAGAATTCATTAGAACAACAAGGTAATCCGTCAGTTTTGTCCAAGGAAGCAGTAATGTCTATTGGAACGCAGAACCGTGACTACAAAAATATTTTAGGGGTTTTTGGATAACAACACGTTCTCTTTTTCCCTCTTCCAAATGTGGCTCTTTTATCTTTCATGGATGCCCACTTTGATGGACTGCATCCAACTTTTATGTTTTATTACCAGGAAGGATCGGTTTTGTTTATTTTCACGGCGCTTTTTCAAATATAGAGTTGGGTTAGGCAGTGAGAGGGCTTCCCTGAGAACCCTCTGAAAGTTTTTGTGATCTGGAACTTAAACTAAATTATTGGTCGGCTATAAAAGAAACTAACAGAATATCGATCTAGTGGCTTTAATTTTTTTTGTCAGATATTGTGGAGAAGATAATGGAGCATATGCTGAATGGTTCACGGACGAGACGTCAGGTATATAAACACACCTGTGTCTACTTTGTCAAGTGTTGTTTGAAAGAGCGAGTAGCGTTGGAATTGATGTATCGCAAATTCACCCAAACTCATTCTGTGTGCAGTGTTTGTGATAGAAAATAGGTCACTTGTAGCATGTCTCGTGTAAATGTAGTGAGAACAAGAAAGTTGGCTTACAATCCTGTAGGCGAGTGTGTCACTGATGTGCACACCACATGTTCAAGTCTTTTTTTAAACAAACTCTCTCTAATTTAGCGATATTTGCTGACCCTTAGATCAAATATTTTTCTCCAGATGGGAGAAAAACATCTGATTCAAGTCATATTTTTTGCGTGAGGCTTACAAATTTGACTTGAACTTATTTAAATGCTGTTTATAATGATGGCAGTTTAAGTTCGACATGATCCAAGAACTATTTGATTAAATTACCTAACAAGTTCCTTGATAAATGAAACCAAGGCTTGGTCTCCATTTATCTGTAAGGTCTTAAATTGTATTATGATAATCTTTAGTAATACAAATGTTCCCTTAAAGAAACAGACGGATCATCAGTGACTGCAAATTCATTATCTGTAGGTTGTAAACCAACTGGTGAACTTGGGACTCGTCGAAGACCGAAAGATGCTTCATAAGAAAAGGACGAAAGGAGATAAAAGGAAGAAACAAAAGAATAATGGATTTATCGTGGTAATTTAGTCATGTTTGGAAGTACTCTGTGTCTGAGATATTGTTCCATGCACTTGACTTTATGGGGTTAGAATCGTCGATAAATTACATCTTTTGATCTTTGAAAGGGATGGACTGCTATCGTTACTTATTGTTAGAAATTCGCACCGTTGTTAATTTTTCAGGAGACAGCATCGATCTTCTCATGCTTATTACTGACCTAACGCAATGTTGTGTTGTCCTAGCTACAAAACCTAGATCAGTCCCGATTTTAAATCTGTTACTACTTAATTTCTTCAAACCTTTTCAGCTTTCATTTGGGACTAGAACTGATCTTAAAAATAAATTACAAAACAACGCATTTCCAAATTTTTGTTACTACAATTTCGGTATAGCATGTTGAATTACTTCTGAGAAGTATTTTTTGTCATGGCGTTGCTCTTTAAATCATGGAAAACTTTTCACACCTACTTATCTAGCGAGAAGATGAAAATTGTGCTCAAAAGCATCACTTTTACCACCTCCTTTTACACTTTTTTGAGGAACATAACAGTTCATCAGTTATTTTTTTAGGATGACGAGGATGAAGGCAGTGATAGTGAAGGTAACTTAAAATAGTGGATGAGGTTTGGTAAACTACTGGTTGTTGCGTCTAACAGTTACATACGTATAATCGCCCTGAGCGCAAAGAAAAAAATTTGAAGAGCATTTAGGCCTCAATTTTTCCGTTTTCAAAAAAGTTTTCTCTTCTTTCTTGACGTGATGTTTTCACTGGGGATAAGATATGTGCTATTTCGGTGCATTCTCAGAAAAATTTTTAGTATGGTTCTGAGCTCGTTAGTGTGAATGTGATGTGTCTATTTGCATTGTTAACCATAAATGATGCTTCCTTTTTTTGTTGTTTAGGTGGCGATGCCGTCGAGGAAGGCTTTGATCATCCGTTTTCTGATGAAGAAGAGTCAACATCTGATGATGATGATGAAGAAGAGGCTGATATCAGTGAAGGATCCCTGAATAACATCATTACCAAACTGACAAGCACAGGTATGGAAGCTCTTAAGATGCACAGAATTCCACAGATTTAGAAGAAACCATTGCTGGAACGAATTCCAACTTTCTTTTGTGTTCTCCTCTTTATGAAAGATTCCAAAATTGATATTTTTAAGGGTTGAAGGAGCAGTTACTGTGGATTCAATCCAAACTTCTCAGGACAGCTGATGATAGAGAAAGCACAGGTAAATATTTCTGACCTTCTCTGAGCATTTTACTATGTAAAGATTTACCGATCAGTTATGTTGAAGATTAAGTACACTCCTCTGTTTGCTTACATAAAGCAGTTCATTTCATTCGCTCAGTTGTGTGTTTGCTTGAAAAAATTGTTTGCATTTTATTAGAAAACAGCCATTCTATTTGTCCAGCCCCTTAGAATTCACCAACTGGGAAAGCTATGAACGGCTTCTTTCATATCCTCATCTCCAAACCGTTGTTTTCTCTGAAGAGCCCAACTAAATTTGAAAAGAACACAGTCAAACCTCCACTAACAGCCGCCTCTCAACAACGCCCGAATAGCTTGCGTTGTTTTGTTTTGGTAACACAATTCACAACTTTTTATCCATTTGTACATTTCGCTGTTTTTCAAAGATAAGGAGAAATGGCAGCCACTTCCCTTGGTGACGATCACAGAGGAAAACGAGGAGGCCCTGGGTAACAAGCTCTTCAGGCAAGCACTTAAGAAAATTGGACTGAAGCCCCCAGCTAATGAACAGGTCAGCTAAATGTCTCAGAGTTGTGACATCATATAACGGATGACTGATTTGTCAGAGGGTACCTTGGCTTCGTAGCACAAACATTTTCTCGCACCACAAAACCAACAGTTTAGTACAGCAGCGCACATTTCTCAATCATTTGTTTTCTTGTTTCATTCGTCAGGAAACATTCTGGAGAATTCCAACAAGGCTCAACCCAGAAAGGCTACGAATGGCTGCTAAGGACCTTGAAGGGACTGGTACTGGTGATAACGAAGAAGGTAGAAATGTTCATCTCTTGATTCTCCCTATCTTGGAAAATTTTCGCCCGTGAGATTCTTGTCTGGTTGTAATCAAATCAGAGCGAGCCTTTGACTAGATCGGAAGTCATTAGGTCATGCATTGAATAATACTCTTAGTGGATGGTGGTTCAGTAAAAGTTTGGTTCAGCTATCTTTCCTTATGATCGTTCTTCCAATAGAGCAGTTTTCAACTGAGTTTCGAAAGTAATCCGGGATTGCTCTTGGTTTACTAAACTTCGCTCTGTGATTGGTCCAGAAAACTTGCGCCATCCTCTCAACCAATCAGAGGAAGGAAAAACTAAAAACATTCGCGACTTAATCATTAGTCTTTGGATGATGATAATGTAAACCTTGTTCTAAGTGGTTGCTGCTATAACCTCAATACTCTATTGAAAACTGCTCTGATATGCAATCCTGTAGAGAAAATAGACAAATGTTCTTCGTCCAATATTTATTATTGTGTTGGGGTGTGCCGACAGTAAATCGTTTACTTGATCAAACTCTCTTTTTGGTCAAATGTTGCTCTACATTCAAAACAAATTAGTTCAAACAATCCATAGAGAAAGCTGTTTTTCGTTTTGTAAGTTTTCCACAAGAAATTGAACCTCAGACCTTCTCTAGAGAGAGATACTGTAGTCCGATGCTCTACCAGGCCCATAACTGAAGGCCCATAACCAGGTTTATTTTTTCGTCCTTTAATTCAAATCACTTTATTATTTATCATTTTTATTTGCTGAATGAGTTCTTTTTTTGTATTTTAAACAACATTAAGCCGACAATACAGATCCTGTGACACCGTCAGCCGGTAGTAAGAGTAAGTCACGTAAAAAGGCTTTAGCTGCCCTTGCCGCCGCTGCACGGGAAAACAACGGATCGGCGTCAAGGCGGAAGCGAAAAGAACGCAAACGGACTGGACTGGAAAACAGGAGACGAGGCGGAAAAGATTGGAGAAAAACAGTGAGTGGTGTGGCACCAGACGATAACCCCGGCCATGACAGTGACAGGTATGTGTTAGTCTTGAGTAATATCGCTAAATTTAAGTCGGCACCGCAATCACCTTTGGGGTATCCCATGTTTTGGTGTGTGAATGCAAGCCGTGAAAAAAAAGGTTCTTCACTGAGTGACTTACATTTGACCAATTTGATGCAATCAACCAGACATGTCATAAGTGGCATAAGAAGCAGTTTCGTTTCCAGTTGACGTTTTCGTCCTGGACTGTCTCTCATGAAGAAAGGACACAGGAGACAAGATTGCACCAGCCTAGGGAAGAGCGTGGCCTAAAACTTTGTTGTGTGTAGTAGTTAGCCAGATTTCGGTGTTTTATCATTCACAGAGAGAAGTAACACAAAAGTATGAAAGCTTATTTCACCTGGTAAATAAGTGTTCTGTTTTTGCTCTTTACAATAGTGAAGGTGCAGGTGAATTAAAGAGCACGACTGAAAAAGAACCTCGATCTCCCTCATCCCCAGGGGCACAAAATAGCGCCGACAAGAAAGAATCTTCAAAACGGGGTAAACGCCGAGTTAGAGCGCTGGATGATAGTGATGAAGATGATACTGAATCAGAAAGAGGCCTTCACGATGGACATGGCGAGTTTAACGCGAGTCTAGATGATAAGGAAAATAAGGCTACTAGCGGGAATGCTGCTGCGTCGAATAGTGATTTAGAATACAGCAGAAATATTTCTGATTCAGAGGATGTTAATTACAACCCCAGTGGGGTCAGACACACTGAGGCTGGCAAGAAAAGAGCAAGAGATGATGACAGTGATGGACCTAGTGATGATGATGATGACGACGAGAAATTTAACTTGCCATTGAATTCTCACAAAAAAGCCAGGCGTATTGTTGTTGACGATGATGACGATGAAGAGTGAAGATACATTGAACAACTGAAATAATTACTTATTATTAAGATTTTTTTAGGGATGCAGCTATTAAAATTGCTGGCATTAAATGATTTGTCATACTGCTACCACTTGCGTTTTCTTTTGTTCAGATCTTTTTCTCTCATATCGCCCTTTCCTTCCCCCTTCCCTGGTTAGCTTGATAGTTAGAATCTCGCGCGTTACTTCAAACAAGCACGTCCTACGCCCATGAAGAGCACAAAATTCAATTAACAACCAAGACACATCAGTAAGACATTATATGGTGCGTGATGACACCAGGTTTGCTTTATTTTGTGGCGGGAGCCGCACAAAGCTCTAAGGAATAGCTACTGAAAAACGGCATGTGTTCTTTCCTTTGGCAAAAATCTGTTCAAAGTGACTGGTCACTTAAAATATTTTTTTAATTGTTTACTAATAGTTACAATAAGATGTCGCGAACCAGACAGGTAAGTTTTTAAACATTCTTAAGATTAAGAAATAAAGTAAAACACGTAAGCCGTTGATTAAATTGCTTTGGTTTACAATAATTCTACTTTAAGACAACAGCATTCAAAGAAAGACATGGTTAATTGGGATTTCTGCATAAGGAGTACTCCTCTAAATTTAAAATTTAACATTTTGATACAAGTTGCCATATTATTCACTACCATTTACTGATAACTTGAAAAATTCCTTTAACAGATCTTCCACAGCATTTCTTGTTTTTAATGTATTTGCCTTTCCTTGGAATCTTCCTTTTTTCCCACCACCTTTTCCTTCCAGAAGAGTAGCAATTCTGAAAATGAGACCACACTTTATTTACCAAAACATCCTCCCAAAGTACTTGACAAGGAATCTTGTGTTTTATGCAATATCAAATGGAATTATCTGGTGTCAAGTCCACGAGACACAATGAATGTAATTGGTCAGACTGGTTTTCATCTCATATCCACCAGGGAATACATATGGTATTCTGGGGTTTAACATTATTCAAAATGTTTAACATTAGTCAAATTCCATAGTAGAAGATTAGGGAATGGAAAACATGCCACAAATTTTCACATTGAGAATTAAATCTAAAATTACAATTCCAAGTAATGGTGGATTAACTTCACCATGAATTAATTGACCATGCTTAGAGTACCAAAGATCTGTGCAGATTTAAACACAGTGATCCCAAAGTTTAGTAAGGTGTGGACATATTTTACATTGATAAGGTGTCTAAAAAACAATAGTTGTACTTCAACACAAAGTCAGACTTAACAATAAATGAATGAAACTTACTTTGGTCCTATTTGGGCCACTTGTTTTTCATTGCCATACAAAAGGAACTGTCCTGGCCCTTTATCAGGGCCAACTGTCACCAGCACTGGAAGAGGCTACAAACAGAGAAAAACTATATTTGTTGGCATGAATTTGCCAAAGAAAATTCGCTTAGCAATACCCAAGCATTAGACAATTCTAAATCTAAGCTTGGCCAGGGTCACTTTTGCAAAGGATCTTAGAATGTCTGAGAATCATGCTAACAGCTAGGCTCTTTTCAACAGAAACAATTTTAAGACTGTTACACTTCATTTACCTGGTCTGATAGTTCATTCACCAATGCGTTCATGTAGTCCATGTCTCCATTTTCTCTGCAATAAAAGTGAATTTAAATTCACAGGGGACCTGATACAGAGGTTAGACAACGCAGCTGCTCTTTCTAATTCAGGGCTATATTAGATACTCCTACATTGCTTAGGTAAATCCTTATGGTTGTCAAGATTTGTTTTGTTGTTGTCAATGTTCTTTTCATTTTTAATTCATGCACACTTACACTTCTTCCTGCATCCTGAATTCATTTATATCAATAATCACTTTGCTAATCTTGTGTTAAAATAACTGCATAAGAAAAATAGTGTCCTTGACTATTATGAAAAACCAAAACCACACTTGCATCAGAGTCTTGCACACAACAAGCTCAGAAAATACAAACTTAACCCTATTTCTTTAGCATGAAAAAAATTAGGATTTTGATTGCTTGCTAGTCCAACACACACTAGCCCAAGCACCAAATTTATCTGGTTTCCCTGCCAATTTATGTGGAATTGGAAACACAAGGGTGGAGAGATGCACTGTGAGAGGAAGGGTAACTGTGTCTACAATGCTGGACTGAAGAGCCATGTTACTTATATAGCTTATATAGTGCTGATATCAATATTGTAGTTATTTTCCTTGATAACACAATAGACAGCACTTTTTGTCTGTTTAATAACATCATAGCCAACATAGGATACTGAGGTAACACAAGAAATCATGAGCAGAAACAAAATCCCTCAAAAACTTTGAGAAATCTCCCAGCATCGCAAGCACACAATAATGCCAGTGAACAAATAAAGAGTGCAGTCTATAACTTTTAATTCATTGTGTAGCCATGGGAATACTGGTAAAATAAAAAAAAATGATGGACCAGTTACAGTATGGCTGCATACTACTCAGTTCATAAACATTTATAACCACCTGTGTATAAAGAGGTATGTTTTTGTTTCACTTGTTGCTTTAAGCTGGTAAGCTTCCAACTGTGCAATCTCTTTTAGCTGTGACTTTGTAACCTGTATATCAATGAGTGGACAAAGTGGGTGAATACCAGCAACATTGACAAAAAAGCAACAAGTACACCTGTACAAAGCAGTTACTTTATTTCAGAAACGATGTGCTGCAATTGCAGGAGTAAAAACTTGGTAGCTATCAGCAGAGAGATAAGAAGTACAGTTACCCTGGTAGTATTAAACAAATACCTCTGAAAGCATATAAAAGACACTACCTTATTTACAGCCTTAAGTGATGTTTGAATCCGATCCACAGCTGTGGAGTGATCATCAGGTCCAACACTACACAAAATTATACAAACACTTCATGATTTGCTTTTAATGACTATCTACTTTTCTAGGCATCAACAAGTGCATTCAATTAATAATAATAATATAATAAATAATAACTTTATTTAAGTGTCAGTGTATTTTAGCACTGCTGTGCTAATTGGGGACACTGTAAATAAGGAAACAAATATCGTAAATGAACAGAAACTCGTTAAAAACCCCAACTGGTAGGAGGCAGACCAGTTGGCTATTTACAAAGCGTGCAGGAGTTGAATTTGGGGCCACCGAAGACAAATCCATCCAGTGGCAGGGAGGAGGACTTGAACCCGGGACCTCCGGCTTACAAGTGCAGCGCCCTAAACACTAGGCCACGCTCGCCTCCTTAATCAACATGAATTTTAACCAAGCCACTTAAAACCTATGGTCCAGCTCACTGCTGCACCTTAAATGTGGCCATGTGAGCTTAACAAAGGTTCAACTGAAAAACAACTGATTGAGAACTGACAAGAATCTGTTTGTGTTTTACCTCAACATTTTTGTCAATGCTCTTTCGTTATCTAGAGCCTTTCCCAGATACTTTAAAACTCTGTTTCCTGCCAAAAAGAATAGTCTGGTACCTCCTCGCATTGACTCTGTCTCAGGGTACAACTTAATAACCTGCCAAATAAAATAAACAAACAAAAAAGCAAAATAATACATTCTTCATTATTTAACACATCTTCTTGACTTCGACCAAAATGAAAAGACATCTATATGTGTGCACAATGAATTGATTTAGTACAACAATATGATCCTTGGCACAGTCATACTGCTATATGGAAGCCTCCATGGGAGGAGAGATGAAGTAAATTTGGTTAAATCTTATTGACAGATGACCTTGTGGGCCTGACTTACATAATTCAGAAAACATCCTCATTAGGGACCCATTTTGTTGTTTTTTCCCTTGTGCAGAGAAGTCAAGATTAATTCTGAAAGTGCCACCATGACCAAATTTTCACCACTGATATTCTAGGGGATTTCACAGAGAATTCTACTGAAGTTCATAAATGGCATTTTCCATTGTGAAATATCATGGTTAAGTCCAGGAGATATTTTTTAAAAGTTTGAATAATTGCTAAAAATATTCAGAAGGGTGATGCCATCATATCCTGAACCTAAAATTTTGGGAATATTGTTTGCTTCATTTAGTTGAAATTTGGTTGAGTGTATGGCATCATCACTTTCAATTGCTAAATGACATCATTCTTCATTTAGAATCTACTTGTCACTGTTTTGAAATGGCTGATATGAGACAGGTATGAAATTTCACATGGCTGCATTTTTTCCCACATTAAAGAACCTCACTATAAGAGAATGCTGGTTAAATGCTGGTTATTGAAAGAATCAAAGGATCTTAAGGTTCCCACATTGATTAATATAAACCACACAGAGAGAGATTTATTTCAAAATGAACAAACAAAAACGATAAAGTCACATGATTACAAACATCATGTTTCTCATGACCTAATGTCATGCTGTACAAGTCTGTAACACTCACTAAATAGACAAAGGAATAGGCTTCCAAAACTAAAATGCCAACATTTTGTGACAAACAAAACTTCACAATCTTGTTCCCAGCTCTTTTTTGTTTCCCTCCTTGTTGAGGAACACAAAGAGGTCTTCACAGCCTTACATACAACAAAATAACTAGGGCATCCATTTACCTGAACTTGACTAAGATTGGTAACATGAGTTCCACAACACATGTTTCTGTCTATACCTAGTGATTAAATGATGACATTTAATAACAAGTCTTAAAATTTACCATTTGTGTTAAATGACATCTGTACAACAACAGAAACTATTTTAAGGAATTTAAGTAAAAATCATCAATATATAACTGGAAATCAACGCAGTTTGATGACTTGCACATTGTATATTACCTCTCCTTACAAAGGAGATATAGTATAATTTTATTAACTCTTTTCACCCTTTTCTTCTAACATCAGTATGCATATCCTTCATACTTTTCTCTGTGCATTTCCTTAGGTTCTGACAAGGAGAATTTGTTGATGATCATTTCTTTTACTCTTGAGACCTTAAAGTGTGATTCAAGGGTGACATTGCAAGAAGGAATCAAATGCTAGTCACTCTTAAATGGCAAAGGGTTAAAACATATGGCAAGGGACATCTAATAGAAGGCTTGTGTCCCCTCCCAGGGAAACTTTTGTTTCCCTTGCACATCACTGACCGGGTATTTCAATCACTCT